ACACACACACACACACACACATATATTAGTTATAAAGTAAAATGCTCACTGCCCACGTGCCAGGCACTTAACAGAAAGCTTATTTACTTATTTTATTCTCATGACAACCTCATGAGACAGGTATAACCATTATTCCCATTTCACAGATGGAGAAAATGAGGCCCGGAGTGGTGAGGCCCTTACTCACGAGACTGGCTCTCCCTAGCCCTAGTCTTTCTCATTCATCCAGGCTCCCCTCTCCTTCCAGACTCTCCCACCCTGGAGTCCCCACAAAGTCCCTGGGCCCTGGAAACCACAGCCCTGGGGGCCACGGCCCTGCCGACCCCCCAACGCCCCGTCTTGTTCCTCCTGCTGCTGCCCCTGGCCTCACTGCTGCTGGCTGCTACCTCATGCCTACCTGGACCAGGAGGTGGCAGGGAGCGCCCTCCCCAGGGAGCAGGTGAGCAGCAGGTGGACGGGTGGGAGTGGGGGAGGGTCTAGGGGTAGCAGGATACCCCAGACACCCAGCAACTCATTCTTTGGGTGCCCCAGGTGCTTCTGCTTCCAGTCCCCAGGATGGGCTGTTCCTGCAGCTTGTGAAGTGTGGGCCCGGCCAGGACCTGGTCCTGGTGAGTCTTCATGCGCCCCCAGGGACCTTGTGCCCAACTCTGGGTGCTGGCCTGATGGGGGCGGGGGTACAGGGGCGGGTAGGAGGGGTGTGAGCAAGTGTCAGAAAGAGGGCGTGGGGAGCAGACTGGAGCTCAGGAAGGAGCCCCGGGGTGGCAGGTGTGGAGAGAGGACTGGGCTCTCCATCTCCAGCCCTGGTAGACTCGGGCCTGTTCCAGCTGAGAGACCCAGAGAGGAGTGGGAATAGGGAAGAATGGATCACACTGGGACAGAGGGTAGCTTGGGGGACAGAGGAATGCAGGAGTCTGCAGGATGAGAGGGAGAGGGCCTCCCAGTACAGGAAGGGAATGGCATTCCAGACCTAGGGAACAGCCTTTGCAAAGAGCTGCACATTGGTTCATGCGACCCCCGCCAGCTTGGAGCAGTCAGTGCTGGGGGAGGAGGGAACAGGACAGCAGGAAATTGGAGGCCTCCACTCCAACACCAGGACTTCTTGCCCAGGGCAGAGGGGAATCAAGGGGGGCGGGGGATGGAGAGAGGATCCAGGGGACTGACTGTGGGAGCAGGAGGCGGGAAAGGAAGCCCAAGTTCACAGTCATTGTTCACAGACAGCAGGTCTTGTGCTGGGCGGTTCTGAGGTTTCATTCATTGATTTCCACAACAACCCAGCGAGGTCCATTTCACAGAGGTTGAAACTGAGCCACAGAGAGGAAAAATAAGTTGCCCAAGTTTCACGAGTTGATGGAGCTGGCATTTAACTCTGTGCTGTTTGGTTTCAGAATTTGTTGTCCCTTAATCCTTCACTCTTCTGCCTTAATTCTGTCCAAAGGCTCTGATAATAACCCCTCTATCACAAGGGTAAGCTGAGAGGTTATGGGAAATGACACAAAAAAAATGCCCTTGGAGGTCTGCCATCCAAGAGAAGCAGCACAAGCCTTAAGTGGTGGTGTGGGGGGCAGGGGGGTAGGGAGCTACACTGATAAACCCACAGGTAGAGGCTGTCGGTTCAAATCCACTAGTGGTTCTATAGGAGAAAGAGAGGCAAACTTCTCCCAAGCAGTTTCCAGCCTCCAAAACCCTGCTGGTGCATCGGCTGTAAGTAAGCTGTGACTCCGTGGCAATGATTCTTTTCGAGAGTCACACAAAGCAGGCCCGTTTGCTCTCTCGTTAATTCTGCCTTCAAGAGACTCTAGAGGACAAAGCAGAACCACCTCCCAGGGTTCCTCAGGCTGGGAACCCTTATGGAAGCGGCCAGTCTGAGCTTTCTCCCGGAATGCCGGATGTGTTTGAACTGCTCTTGTATCTGTTAGCAGCTGGGGCACTTGAAAGGCTACACCAATAGCGCTCCGGAGCACTGTCTCCTGTTAACTCACCTTGAGTCAAGTCTGACTCCTAAGGGCCCTCTGAGCATCAGATCTGAACCCTGCTCTGTCTTGTACCATTCTCATCTCTGCCACACGAGAGCCATTCTGACAGTCACTGCCAATCCATCTCACTAAGGGTCTTCCCTTCCTTCACTGACCCTCCACTGTTCCAAGCACGTGGTCTCTCCTAACAATATGCCCAAAGCAGATGAACCAAGTTTCAGTGTCTTTCCCTGTGAGCAGCATCCTGGTTTCACTCTCTCTGAGATGTATCTGTCTATTTTCTTGGCTGTCCAAGGGATATTTAGTGCTCTTCTCCAACACCATAACTCAAAGGCATTGATTCTTCTGTCATCTTTATTCACTCACCACTGGACCAATTGGCAGCGTCAGGATGGATGGTGAAGAGATTGAGATCGTTCACAGCTTCAGTTTGCTCGGCTCCACAGTCAACACTCTTGGCACCAGCAGCCAGGAAATAAAAAAACAAAATGTATTGCGATGGGAAAGTC